TAGTTATATATATATATAGTTATATATATATATATATATATATATATATATATATATATATATATATATAGAGAGAGAGAGAGAGAGAGAGAGAGAGAGAGAGAGAGAGAGAGAGAGTTAATATTATTAATATTATCATGAAAGTTATATAACTTTAAATTCCTAGACTAAAGAGATTCGAATGCCTTGCCTGCTCACATCTTCACCTATACCATCTCGATCTTGCACACAAAACAATGATAAAACAAAGTCGCAGGTATATCATACCATAAAGTGAAACAGACACGTATTACTAACATTGCTGCTATTTCCTGAAAATTAGTTGGTAAAGTTGAAATCCGAGTTTCCTCTGACCCTTCCCATCCCATTTTTGATATCTGGACATTTCTGTTTGAATGCAATGTCAGAGTCCATGGCCTATCAAAAAGTTGGAATTCACCGACATTCTGCGGTGTCGGCGGGAGGTAGTCGCTTACTAGCTTGCCTTGCAAACTTGAATGACTTTTTATACTGCATAAAAATATACCCGCATGAAATCGATAGTAATATCATTTATTTTTCTCAGAAATTGTGAGTATAACATTCAGTATGTTTTTAATGTGCTGACTGACCAGACGAAACTACAGCGTTGATGAAAAATGACCTGGAACTCATTTGCCTTCCTAGTCATATGATAATACAAATCTCGAAACCTACGTGCCAATGACATCAGAGATCAAATAGTCAGGTGATATCAACAATAAACCATTTACAATGGTGCTGTAGGAAACAAGTCGAACATATAGATGAAAGTCACGTAATTTTTATAGAAAATGGAGGAAAAATACATAGACATCTAAAAATACTTAGTCTGAAAACAACAAGAAATACGTAATTGTTGCAGCAGCTTGGAGAAAACCAGGTTGACGAATCAGAGAGCACATGTCAATGCTTCAGTCACGTGATACCAACAAAAAGAAACATCGCTGACACATGTTTAATACACGATGAATCTGTTGTTTTTTATTATTTTTTTTTTATTTTTTTTTTTGAATACCTTGCTGAAATACCAACAGAATATTCTCAGGATAAGTGTGTTGAGAATTTAGTGTGCATTATATTTGTTTACAAACATTCCCTATTATTAAATATTTTCGAATTCTATGCCAAATTTCATCATCGCTGTAGTTTCATCTCGTCTGTCAGTGGAATAATGATATAACGAATGCTATATTCGCAATTTGTGAGAAAATAAATCATATTCCAATCGATTGTATTCAGGTATATCTCAATGAAAGATCGTTAAAGTTTGCATGGACGGCTAGCAAATTGTGTCGGCGAATTCCAACTTTTCGGTAGGCAAAGGACTCTAGTCCTACACCACCGACAGAAATGTCCAAATATCAAAAATGGAGTGGGGAAGGGTTGGAGGAAAGTAGAATTAATATAGTTGATACAGCTCTGGCACAAACTACATAGTGAATGGAGTTAGCCATCACTTTTCCGTTACTAAATAGAGAAAGTGTGCTGCTTGGTTCAGTGATTGGTTCTCGTATAATACAGAGAAGCAGAGAATCGCACTTCCTACACATACATTCTCCTGTAATGATATTTTGGGTGAATTCTATTACAACAGAATATTGCAGACAATATCTACATACGTTAGGAATGAAGACGTATTTTTTCCACATTTTTTCAACGAAAGTCCATGAAGCGAAGAATATCTCGAAATAAAACGGAAAGTTATTTAATGCTGATATATGACTGAACACATTTATTTTTTTAAATAAAAAAAACGACCTCCTTGTAGTTATTTTAATTTAGAAACGAATACTAGCATCAAGAAAAAAATTTTGTATATTTTTTTGTTGTGTAATATATAGTTCGTGACTGGAAAAAAAAATCAACCTTGCGAAAGACAAAACTTTTAAGTTGACATTTACAAACTTAGGAAAATTATGAGCGTGAAATTGAAAGATAAAACGGCCATACAGTATTATGCTAATTACCGTATATATTCGCTTATAAGTCGGATCCGACTGAAAACTGTACAGCCCAGATCTGATGCTGCATAATGTGCTGGGAGATCTTGGTCTATACAGTTTGTTAGAATTAATCAGTTATCAAACAGCATAGACCTTGCGACTTCAGAGAAAGATCTATGTTCTTTGCAGTTATACTTCGCTAATAAGCAAGTATATACCGTAACAGAAAAACTGCTTTGCAAACACAAAATTATTATACAAAAGAATCATCTATTGCAATGTACCTAAGTATGGTTTGGGTTTTTTGTTAGATTTGGAAGCTTTAAATGTAAAGAAAAGCTCATTTTAGAGCTTTCATTTGCCGACATGTATATTAAACCGCGAAAGTCCTTTTTAGTATATTGCTGTACACTATGATCAAATGCTGCTGTTTTTTGGAAGAGAGAGGGTCAAATTGCATAATCTCGTTTTTTTTTAAGTTAATATAATTCAATCAAGGTCTGAAAGTTGCTAAGATTAATATTGTTTTATTTATTCTTTTGTACTCCCTTCTTTCCTACCTTTCTTCATCGTTTCTTTACTTACCTTTCTTCCTCTATTTTTACGACC